AGGGAACTGTCTTGAGAAAAGTTTCGATGGCAATGACATTTTCTTCTCCATATAAAGCGCAACTCTGCTTTGTTTACAGCGGTAAACAAGGAAACGCTATATTGCTGTCGGTTCATAAGCAGTGTTGCCAAGTCTTCGGTTTTCCCGCGGAATTGGGCTACTTTAACACTGTTGCCACGGGTTGTTGTTCATGTCTGTGGGTTGAAGCGACCCCAATAACGTGTATTTTACCCCCAGAATGCGATTTTTACAGGGGAACCCCCCCTCGAAACATGATTGGACTAGTTTTATTGCGAAAACCTGGCAACCCTGTTCATTAGTGCCACCTGCTGTCAGAGAGTGCGTCTCATTCAGACCTGCTGTTTTTGTAGCAAATAAATAAATAACACCTAAAGTCAGACCATTCTGTTTTTGTTTTAAATCCTGAAATTAATCTAAATCTAAATCAAAAACAACTGCCCGTGCAGATCGGGATTAAAATTTAGTGGTTGCCTGTAATTTCAAATGGCTGGATATTTTAGTTTAAAGCCAGTTTGTTTGTTACAAAGCAAATAGCCAATAAATAAATTTGCTTAAAAACCAGTATCAGAATCCAATTTGCTAGTAAAAAAGAAAATCTGAATCAGCTATGATCGGCACATCACTAATTAAAATACTAAGTAAAAGGCCTCAAATTTGAAGTACAATCTGGGATGTCTTTTTCTATCAATTCTTCAATAGGTAGATCTTGTCTTTCATAAAGGCCGAGGTCAGGGATCTTGGGCCTAAAAAGGTTGGTGACCACTGCTGTAGGGTTTAAGGGTATATTATAAATTTGCTTATATGAGTATTAATTTTTGTCGCCTTCCACACGCAGGAACGCACGGACGCGATGACGTGCACGCACGTTACGTCACACGTCTTGCGTATTGACGTCTCGTCACGTCGGAGCGGTTCATCATGGCGCTGCGCAGCGCGGCGCGTGTTCTGCTGCGAGCGAATGCGGGGCTGAAGCATCACGCGAGGGGTCTTCGGTTCAGCGGTGAGCGGTGCTGTGCTGGACGATAATACTGTGAATGTGCGGATAATGAGTTAAATAATCAGTAATTTGCTTAAAAACCAGTATCAGAATCCAATTTGCTAGTAAAAAAGAAAATCTGAATCAGCTATGATCGGCACATCACTAATTAAAATACTAAGTAAAAGGCCTCAAATTTGAAGTACAATCTGGGATGTCTTTTTCTATCAATTCTTCAATAGGTAGATCTTGTCTTTCATAAAGGCCGAGGTCAGGGATCTTGGGCCTAAAAAGGTTGGTGACCACTGCTGTAGGGTTTAAGGGTATATTATAAATTTGCTTATATGAGTATTAATTTTTATTGATATTGTGTGAAATCATATTGTCAATGTTTGTTTTATGCTTCTATTTTATTTTGTGAAGCACTTTGAGCTGCATTATATATATGAAAAATGCTATGCAACTAAATTTTATTATTAAGAATCTAGTTTAAATCTTGAGATAAAATCAACGACTGTTTATAATTGCATGCAGCAAATGCAGTGTCTCGTCAATGTTATCAAAGTTGCAGGTTACATAGAATTAAATGAAAAATTATTAGAGACTGAGAATTATATTGTGATATTTTAAGGACATTTTCCAACCAAATTCTCCTTATAGTTTTTTTTGTTTTGTTGTTGAAATCAGCATAAATAAATACTATCCTGGTGTATATTTAAATAGTACATTACAAATGTAATATTTTGCATAATGAAAATGCTGTAACAATGCAAATTGTCACTTCATGCAAAATTAGTGATAATAATTAAGTGTGAATGTAAACTTAGTGGTACAGAAACATCATACTATCAATCACCAGGCATCAATAGGACATTTAATATAACGTTTTCTTATTTTCTGGCTTCCAGTCCGCATTCCCCTCGACAGAGTAAAGACGCAGTGGGAGCAGACAAACGGACCGTACCACATCAAGAGGCTCGCCGAACACTACGGGATCTACAAGGACCTCTTTCCCATGGCGTATTTTGTGCCGCGGCTCATGCTGCGTGTGGCGTACGGAGAGGACAGCAGCACAACAGTGCATTATGGGAACCACTTAACACCGAGTCAGGTGAGGACTCAAAACTTGTAACGACTGTTTCTGTTTGAAATCAAGAAAGCAGACTTTGATTTGTGCTGTTTGTGTGAAATCCTCAGGCGGCACAAGCACCTCAGGTACATTTTGACGCGGAAGAAAATTCTCTCTGGACGCTGTTGTTAACCAGCCCAGGTACATCAAAATATTTACCTTAAATACTATATATATATACATATATATATATATTTTTTTTTTATCGAATGACATCTGTAGTACATATTCCAATGACAGTGTGTGTCCAAATACTTTTAATAATGCTTTATTTATTTATTAATTTAATAATATTATATCTATTATCAGCTTACTACACCAGTAAGCTGATAACTCACAAATATCAGCTTATTAAAATAACCAGTGTTCCCCATTTACATGCAAATCAGTAACCTGACAACGCAAGTAAGCTGCGTTTACATGATTTCATTAATAAATCAGGTTATTTCCCTGTAGTGACGTCAAAATATAATCATTTGCGTATCTGACTCCGAGTATTCCATACGTTTGTCAGTTGTGATGTTAAATTAAGCTTGCAACATGTCGGGAAACTTACAGCTCATATATTATCCTCTTGTAACTGAACCACTTCTACTTCTGCTGCACGAGATGAGAACACATTTTTATCATTTTCTGAGTCATGAAAAAGTGCTTTTGTGATGTATTTCCTTCTTTCTTTACTGCAGGACGTTTGCTCGGTCTAGATGCGCTTAAATCTGCACTAATGATGCGTTCCTGTCACGTATCACACATGTGCACTTCAATAAGCCTACAGAAAGCGGGTTGTTGCATTTACATGCCGTGTGAAATTGGAGTAAGAGGCAAAAAACTACCTGTTGCGACCGGTTTATGCTTACGCCGTTTATGACCGTACTCCGATAAAAGAAAACGGGTTGCCACATTTACATGAACAAGTGCGTTTTCGGCTTAAGCATAATCGGCTTAAGAACATGCATGTAAACGCGCTCATAGACACTGTATATAAACACATATATATATATATATATATATATATATATATACACACACACACACATATATATATATATATATATATATCTTGTATATATTTTTTTTCAAATGATAAGTGCTCTTTGGTCATTTGGCCTTCAGAAATGTCAAGTTAGCATTTAGTAAACTGCTATTTGAAGTGCCTCCACAAGATGGTGATACAGTGACATAAACTGTGTGTTTTACAGATGAACATCTGCTGGATGCTGAGCAGGAGTATCTTCACTGGCTAGTGTGAGTATGTTTGTTATCCTGTATCACTTTACACATATGAATAATTTTTTCAGCAAAGCTCACATTCCAACAAGAACAAAATCCATACATTTGATTTAAGGAGGAACAGCTGAAGATCATAATGTCATAGAGACTCTTGATTTGAGGCCAGTAAACAACCACATACAGTAAAAACATGCTAAAAACCACCGTGCTCACCTTAACCTCATGCACTGTCTGACCTCAGTGCCTGGCCTGAAAAAAAGAATCGTTTGACAAAGTACGTGATGATATCGGTTTCTAATGACTTCATTTATTACAGTGGGAATATCCCTGGAAATTCTGTGTCATCAGGGGAAGAGTTCTGCCCTTACATCAGTCCATTTCCAGCCAGAGGAACAGGCTTTCACCGATACATCTTCATCCTGTTTAAACAGGAACATCCAGTTGATTTCAGCTCAGACCTCAGGTCCTCCCCATGGTCAGTAGTTTCAGCCACAGTCTGGACAGTAATAATAAGGTCATGATAATATGTAAGGGGATATTGCACATCCATCTGGTTGTTATCGCAGAATAAAGCCAGACAGGCTAATCAGCAGCCTGACGTGAAGCAGAAGTCTGTCATATAAGACTGAAGGGCTTTATTTTGTTAACAACTGGCTGGATGCACATTATCCTGCTTATTACACAGCTGCTTGCCACAAAAGTAAATCATTAGACAACGAAACATTGATCAGCGACAGCGGATTGATACATTAAGCATATAATTACTGCGGTCAAGATGACTGGTAGTACCCGCATGAGCCTGTGTTATTACTTTTATCAGGAAATAACACACCTTGGAATGTTGGGATTGACCAATCAGAATCAAGTATTCCAGAGAACTATTCTGGGTCATTTCTCACCCTATTATTATTAAAAAAGAAAAGTAATATACAGTACTTGTTAAACGCTTGAAAAAGAATTTTTAACGACTTTAAACGATTTTTTTTATTAAGTCTCTTTTGTTCAACAATGCTGCTATTATTTGATCAAAAATACAGAAAAATCTGTAATATTGTGAAATATTATTACAAATTAAAATAATTGTTTTCTATGTGAATGTATGTTAAAATTAAATGTATTCCTGTGATCAAAGCTGATTTTTCAACATCATTACTCCAGTCTTCAGTGTCACATGATGTATCTATAATATATCTTTTTTCTTTCTTTCATTTTTTCAGAATTCTTTGAGCAGAAAGTTCAAAAGAACAGCATTTATTTCAAATAGAATCTTTTGTAACATTAGAATTGTTTTATTTTCATCAATTATTTAATCAATTTAATGCATATTTGCTGAAGCATTAATTTGTATATACAGTGGGGCAAAAAAGTATTTAGTCAGCCACCAATTGTGCAAGTTCTCCCACTTAAAAAGATGAGAGAGGCCTGTAATTTTCATCATAGGTATACCTCAACTATGAGAGACAAAATGAGAAAAAAAATCCAGAAAATCACATTGTAGGATTTTTTTGCAGCCTTGACGACAGCATTCTGTAAAAAAAACTTGCACTCATTTTCAGTGACGCCCTGCTTGTAGTATTTGTAGTGAATACTGTAATGCTGTAGCCCAGGGGCCTCTGGATATCTTAAGGCGCCCCTGTGCATAGCACTAAAACAATCAGTATAAAGCAAAGCCATTGGTAATATGTTGATGTCTCTTTTTGAACATTTGCAGAAATACGTATTCTTTCTCTCATATTTGCAGCTACTGTCTGAAGCAACGGACTTTCCGAACATTAGACTTCTACAGGAAGCACCAGGATAAGATTACTCCAGCCGGTCTGTCTTTTTTCCAATGCCAATGGGATCAGTCTGTCTCTCATACCTTTCACACGCTATTGAGTGAGTAACAAGGTGTAGACATGCTAGAACAACTTCCCTTCTTGTATGATGAACAAGAGATTTTCTCGTAGATTTAGTTACTACCGTTCTATTTATAGCCAGTTTCCGCTTCTCAAAATAGCACTTATTACTTGTGGTTTGTTGTGACCCAGTTACAGTATATTCAGGTACAAAACCAGTCATTAGTAATGAGTCATGAAAACTGGCTTAACACACACTCTGGAAAAAAATCATTGCTCATGTGCTTTATTTTACAGATATGAGAGAGCCGGTGTTCGAGTATGACAGACCTCCAGTGTATCACCCACCGCAGAAGAAATACCCTCACGGACAGCCTCTCAGATACCTGGACCGCTACAGAGATGGAGCCGAAAAGACCCATGGGATTTATTAAACACATGCGTGTATCATGATCACTGTACAACTGAAACAGCCGGGCTTTTGTTTGTAATAAACTAAATGTTATCAGCTGTGTTGAGCCAAATTGTGTGGGCAAAAAATGTGTTTAGCTCAAAGCAGCTTTCTGTTGAACTCGTCTTAGAGTTCAGACTTTTTTTTTTTACTCACAATTCTGAGAAAAAAATGTTCCTGTCAGGCGCATACATTTTGTCTAACAGTATGTTTATTGTATGCAATAAACAAAATATCTCAAGAGCTAACTTTGAAGGGGACACAAATACAGCAAATAATTCCCAGATAGGGTCTCAAAACCAGAATCCACAGGAGACGTTCTTACAATATTTGAAAATATTTGAAAAAAAAAATGTTTCTGAAAGTAATTTGGTCCAGACTCTGTTGCTATCTGTGAAGCCAAGCACAAGAATAGCCTACTAATGTAAATTTGTTAACCCACAGTAACACATTTTAACAGATTAATCGCATATTTTCGTTTGCTGCATGCTTTTACTACGGAGACGGCACCAGAGGTGAGGGGGCACAGTAACCAAGGTGGCCGGGGCCCCTCAGGCCCCCCCCGCTGTGTATCCGTCAGTGTTGCCAAATCCACGGTTAGGTCCCATGGAATTGGGCTACTTCATCACTGTTGTTTTTTTTTTTAGGTCCGCGGGATGAAGCGACCCCAATAACGTGTATTTTAGCCCCCGGAACGCGATTTTTACCGGGGGACCCCCTCAAAACGCAGATAGTTTGGGCTAGTTTTAAGTAGTAATTAGGCGGGTTTTGTTGTGAAAACCTGGCAACCATTTCTGTCAGGAAGGTAATGGTATTATTGCTAACATAGCGACTCATTTAAAAATACATTGGCATCATCTGTATTAAAGAGAAACTAATCACTTCATTCGATGTTCAAGTGAATAAAATAGCCTTGACAGTCTTACTAACAGGAGTTCCTCAACTATTAGCTTTGTTCACCAGACTCGTGTGTGTGTGTGTGTGTGTGTGTGTGTGTGTGTGTGTATGTGTGTAGGTGATGTAAAAGAGGAAAGCAGGCATTTGGACCAAAGCACTGTGAGGCAAGGGAGGGGGAGACTCCAAATGTTTCTAAACTTAAAACGCATTTTTGACCCCCGTTTGTGTTGTTTTACTACCTACACAATTATTTTAAATATAAATCATTGTTATTTACAATACACAGCGTGGTTTTTAATCACATTTTGAGGGGGGACAACTCAGATACTTTCATACCCCTCCCCCCCAGTGGAAACGAGTGAGGGCAAGACTATTTTTGAATATGTCAACAGATTTCCTGTTGTGACAGCACAGAGTTAGTTCAGGTGCGCTCTTGGCAGCGCTTCTATTATCCCTGTAGACTCGTCACCAGATCGGATCTCAGGACCAGGCGATCTTCAGCATCTCATCCACATCCAGAAGTTTTTCCCGGGCTTTTCCCAGGGATTTGCCCCTTTTCTCCTCCGCTGCATTAATTTTCTCCCATTGTGAAAAAAGCACCGCTCTCACACCTGTTGACACACAAGACCCAATAATAAACTTTTGTTTTCACTTTAAAAATCTGATGCATATATGTATTTATTTTGATTTTCTTTTTCTTTTAAGAATCAGCTTAGAATCTTGGAACAAAATCCATTCCATGACAAAGCATGGCTTTCATCAAAATTGTATTCCAAACCCAATACAATGCAATAATCCAGAAAAACATGCATGTGCAAAACAGATGTTTAAAGACCGAATCAGCAGAAAAATCAGCAGAGTGAATGCTTTTGACCAAACCAAGTGAATGTTCATCGCAGGCAGCATTATAATGAATCACAGATGCGTGTCTCAACGTGAAAGTTTTTCCAACGTGTAGTAGCTAGTATAATAAAGCTTCTTTCTAAGACCTTATAAGAATCAAGGTCTGAGGAAGCATTACACATATCCCTCACGTATCAGACAATCCTAGAATGCATTGAAGTGAGCTCAGAGAAACAGATGCATACAAACTGGAGGATGAGAGAAATATCAATGAAGAACAGATTTTGCCTGGAGAGGAGCCTTGGTGAAATAACTAGAATTCATATCTACAGCTGAATAATAGTCATGTTAATTTTATTTTAAATTAATGTAAAAATGCCTTCAATCGACATCAAGTGCCATTCTAAAATAAAAACATCCAAATTAAAATAAAACTAAAAAAATTTATGAATTAATTGTGCCTTTTTTAAAATATAAAGATATAATTTGTATTAATGCAATAATGTACTAATTCTATTCAATGTTTGGTTTTAATTAATCATTAATTAATTAATAATATTATTTGTATTCATTTTATTTATTAATGTAAACATGCCTTCTATCAGCATTTTAGTGCCATGCTAAAGTAATAAAAACATTGAACATATGAACAATCTACAATTTGTATATTAATGCATTTTCCTTCATCGTATAAATGCCTTTGCTCAGCATTTTAGTGCCATGTTAAAAATAATGAAAATTTTATAATTAATATAAACTATGATTTGTAGTACTGCCTTTGCTCATAATATTGTGACATTTTTCTTGCAATATTTCACACAATATTATGCCTTTAATCTGCAACGTCATAATGTCAGAATATTATCCTCAAAACATTAAGATTTATTCTTACAATGTTACAAACTTTTCCTCAGAATCTTGTATTTTTTTGGTATTTGATTATTGTAATGTGGTACTACAATGCCATCATACATATCTGATGCTGCTTGAATATACTTCATATGTTTTGCTATTTGATACTTAGGAACTTAAATTACTATTTTACCATATAAATAGATAAAAAGCATTAAAGTGTGCTTATGGCACACTCTATCGATAACAATGAGTCCTGTTATGAGCTTCATTTGTATGCTGACATTGCTCTTAATCAGTTATATATGTGTCCCTGGAGCACAAAAGCAGTGTTAAGTCGCTGGGGTATATTTGTAGCAACAGCCAAAAAAACAGTGTATGGGTCAAAATTATCGATTTTTCTTTTATGCCAAAAATCATTAGGATATTAAGTAAAGATCATGTTCCATGAAGATATTTTTTTAATTTCCTACCGTAAATATATTAAAACTTCATTTTTGATTAGTAATATGCATTGCAAAGAACTTCATTTGGACAACTTTAAAGGCGATTTCGATTTTTTTGCACCCTCAGATTCCAGATTTTCAAATAGTTGAATCTCGGCCAAATATTGTCCAATCCTAACAAACCACACATCAATGGAAAGCTTGTTTATTCAGCTTTCAGATGATGTATAAACCTCAATTTAAAAAAATTGACCCTTATGGCTGGTTTTGTGGTCCAGGGTCACATATTAGGTTGACTTTAGTAAGGATGATGCAGTCTCGGGGGTTTTGGTATCTAGTGTGTCTAACCTCGTGTTTGCAGAAGGGCAGTGATCGCTTGAGCGCCCGGTTTGTTGACTGACAGATCCAGCTTGCCCGCCTCCATATCCTGAATCAAAACGCGTGCCGTATCGAAACTGTCGTTCATGGTGGTTGCAATCACACCGGTAGGTCCGCGTTTGACCCAGCCGCTGCAGTACAGACCTGCCCAAACATTAACACAGACAATTACAAATATAGGTGGGGGGGGGACAAAATGACTGTCCACTGCTCCGGGTGTTTGTGTGCGTGTGTGTGTGTGTGTGTGTGTGTGTGTGTTTACTATTCAATGCTGTGCGTGGGCACTTGAAAGGGAAAAATGCAGAGCACAAATTCCAAGCATGGGTTCTCACACTTGGCCAGACGTCACATCACTTTATTATAGATACATTTGTTAATACAGCTAGGATGAAAATATATATGCCGATTTTAAAACTAGTGATGTGTGTTTTTCCCAGATAGGGTCTCAAAACCAGAATCCGCAGGAGACGTTCTTACAATATTTTTTTTGGACGAGTACAAAAGCTTTTCCATCAATTGCCCACCAAATGTAGTTTCCAACTAATATACTTAGCAGTGGAAACTGACCGACATCTGGGGAAGTCGTGGCCTAATGTTTAGAGAGTCGGACTCGTAACCCAAAAGTTGCGGGTTTGAGTCTCGTACCGGCAGGGATTGTACTATTTTACCATATATGAGTCCCTAGCTTCATTTGTATGCTGACATTGCTCTTAATCAGTTATATATGTGTCCCTGGAGCACAAAAGCAGTCATAAGTAGCATGGATATATTTGTAGCAACAGCCAAAAAAACAGTGTATGGGTCAAAATTATCGATTTTTCTTTTATGCCAAAAATCATTAGGATATTAAGTAAAGATCATGTTCCATGAAGATATTTTTTTAATTTCCTACCGTAAATATATTAAAACTTCATTTTTGATTAGTAATATGCATTGCAAAGAACTTCATTTGGACAACTTTAAAGGCGATTTCGATTTTTTTGCACCCTCAGATTCCAGATTTTCAAATAGTTGAATCTCGGCCAAATATTGTCCAATCCTAACAAACCACACATCAATGGAAAGCTTGTTTATTCAGCTTTCAGATGATGTATAAATCTCAATTTCAAAAAATTGACCCTTATGACTGGTTTTGTGGTCCAGGGTCACATATTAGGTTGACTTTAGTAAGGATGATGCAGTCTCGGGGGTTTTGGTATCTAGTGTGTCTAACCTCGTGTTTGCAGAAGGGCAGTGATCGCTTGAGCGCCCGGTTTGTTGACGGACAGATCAAGCTTGCCCGCCTCCATATCCTGAATCAAAACGCGTGCCGTATCAAAACTGTCGTTCATGGTGGTTGCAATCACACCGGTAGGTCCGCGTTTGACCCAGCCGCTGCAGTACAGACCTGCCCAAACATTAACACAGACAATTACAAATATAGGTGGGGGGGGGACAAAATGACTGTCCACTGCTCCGGGTGTTTGTGTGCGTGTGTGTGTGTGTGTGTGTGTGTGTGTGTTTACTATTCAATGCTGTGCGTGGGCACTTGATGAGTCCCTAGCTTCATTTGTATGCTGACATTGCTCTTAATCAGTTATATATGTGTCCCTGGAGCACAAAAGCAGTCATAAGTAGCATGGATATATTTGTAGCAACAGCCAAAAAAACAGTGTATGGGTCAAAATTATCGATTTTTCTTTTATGCCAAAAATCATTAGGATATTAAGTAAAGATCATGT